ATCTCTAGTTCAGGAAGGAGATGGTTTAAAGGGGACCTCCCTGAGCTATATTTAAAAAATTATAATGGGATAAACTTGGAAAATGATTTCAGATTAAACCATCAAATTAGATCAAGGGAACCAATTTAAAAAAGATTCAAAGCAAATCTGGAGAAAATGTTTTTATCCAGAGTATTAAATGTTTGGAACAATCTATCTGGTGGGGTAAATGAGGCATTCAAAATAAACATTTGGTTAAGACAGGGTAGTGAAGGAAGAGGATGGTAGAAAGATCTATTTTCATCCTTGACATTTTAGGAAGTGGAACAAAACAGCTTTGAATAGTTTAACATTAAGGATAGCAACTCAATCGTACAGGACATTTCCATACAAATATCCTGAACAATTTCTCAACCTCAACTGGGTTGTCTGATACCTGTTCCACTGGTAGGTTTTATTTACAGGACACAGGAATGTTTTTGTGCATCAACAAGCTCCAACAGCAACACAAGCAGAAACCAGAGCCTCTTGCTCAATAAGCAAAAATATGGGTTAAGTGGTTCAATCAAGTGGAAGAACAGTGTACGAAGTGACCAACAACTTTTTATTTTGGTGTCATCTAATAGTATGAAGCTGGTCTTTCCTTAAAGTGCAGTCTGTTTGAAAAGAGAAGAGTTTCTCCTGGTGTACCTGACAACAGGTCTCCAGATGAATTAATCAATCACTTGACAGATGTTTGCTGTGCACAAATTATCTCCCATATTTCCCTGCAAATATACAAATCACTATACAATGTCTTGTAAAGTGCTTTGAGACAGTTAACATTAGAGATACTATATCAAGTGCAAGGATTACGATAAAAGCTTTTGCATCAAATAGGCTATAATATTAATAATAATCATTGCATTTATATAGCACCTTATCAATTCCTTTTCACAACATTGAGAAGTCTCAAAGTGATTCATAGAATATATGGCAAAGTGGATTGACTGTATATTTTGTGGGTGAATACATGTCCCAATCAGTCATTTACTACTTCAAACTGAAAATAAAAGATCTCTCATTGATTCACTTTCAGTTCACACTTATCTAAGTTTAGTATTTTCTACAAGGAAACAAGTCAAATTCACCACACAAATTACTGCTGTACCGAGGGAAGAGTGCATCATGTTTTCCCGTTTTGCCTCATTATTTTAGCACTTTTCATGGTAAGGTTCAGCAATACTCTCCAGCTGAGAGGTTTTTATGTATGGAACAAGTCGAACCAAGAGGGGATCCCAAATTACTGGTGGTGGAGGGTGGGTTTCAGCCTGGCTCAGGAACCGGACTACTGAGACTGCTACAGAGGGTTGTCTGGATTGTGATACTCCATTGCCAAACATGTCAGCTTTAAGGAGACCCCAATTACCTTCTTCTCCTCCCTTCATGCCTGCCCCCGGGAGGGTAGTCACTAGTTGGTCATTTAACTGCTGTGAAGCCTTTCAGAAATAATGACTCAAAAAGACAGATAGATAGCCAAAGCTCTTGAATTGTTCGCAAATTATAATGATCTCAATAAGAACAGTGGCATACACACTGGCTAAAGTGCACAATCTCCTCCACCCCTACCCAAATTCTTTCTCCGTCCTTCAGCAAAATGCACCAACAATCAGGTCATTGCTACACATACATAGAAAATTTCAACAAAAGCTCCATTCTTTAAATGGAAAAACTGGTTAAACCTGTTTCAGGTACTTGTTTGTGGAATAGACAAAATGTTAAGATCAAAATAAAAGTTTTGAAGGAAAGAATTTGACCAAGGAGTTGACTTCAAAACGAGCTATCCAGAATTTATTTTAATCAAAATTTGCAAATGATTTCAACTTCAAGTAATTACTTTTACATTAAGGACATCAACTGACTGATGTACCAATTGATCACAAAGCAGCATTGAAAGTATTTGCAAAGCTTTCTTTAGTCCAGACTGACCCTCTTTCAAAATCAAGACTCTTCACCTAACATCTACAAGGTATTTAAGCATTTGTAAGGCACAGAATACTGTAGAAACAACTGCAGCTTGCAAAAACATTCATTCAATATCTTCATTTTACAACTCAACTTATCATTTGACCAGCAACCACACATTCCAATTCAAGAGCCCACTATATAAAAAATTGAATCAATTACTAATCAAATCTATTATCCTAAAACACTTTAAAATCTTAAGGGTTAGATTCTGCTCTTTCCTCCTCATCCCAGTATAATCGCTGGCAACTCATCTTAAACATCTGTTCTACAACATACTGTGTGCAGAGAGCAATATAAAGATAACTGATATATCAAAAGCCAAATTAAGACTCTCTTCACCTAATATCTACAAGAAGGCATTTAAGCATTTGTTATGGATGGGGAGAAGAGACAGATGTTTTTTCTTCCCTAGCCTATAGACGCAGCCAATCTAGTACCGTTCAGTATAAACTAAAAATTAAAAGCTCAGACCAACAATGTTAAAATGATTTTATTTACCTGATGGTTCTCAAAGTTCACTTCTTTTTAAAATAAATGTTGTACTCCCCTAGTCTGATAATACACCGGTTATGTTTAAATTTGCAGTCCACTGGGAAACAAAAAAAGTACAACTCCTGCAAGACTATCTTTAAGTGAATGTCCCTTCTTCACACCCTCCCAGGTCTCTGTATCAACACTGTAGAGAAGAACATCTACTTCTCAACTGTCTCAGCAGCAACATTCTCTCTTCTTTATAATCTTTAGTGTCTCTATGATTCATAGCACCACCAGAACCGATTTGGAGTATCAACCTAGGTTAATGAGTTCAAAGTCCCGAAGTAGGAATTAAACCCATGAATTGAGATTACGGTACATAACTCCAGAAGAAGAGTGGCGAGAGTATAGGCTTTGATGGACCATATGGCCTCTTGTTCTGCTCTAATTTATATAATTCTATAAGAACAGATGCCTTGAATTGAACATACATTTTTACAAATAACTTATTCAGTGCAATTCAGTTTTATATTCATCTTAATAAAGTAATAATAATTCTAGTATTTGATGTATAAAGCCTTATGTGAAATGTCTTAAAATGCTTCAGTTTATTTCTGTAAGGTGTAGTGACTGTGTATGTTGTAGACAAACAGGGAAGCCAGTAAGCACAAAGCAATGCCCCACAAACAGCCTTGAAGTGAATGGCCATTTTTGTTTCTTGGAGAACACTAGCCAGCATACCAGAAGAAATGCTATTCTCTTTTCCAATAGTGCCATGGGATCTTTACCATCTACTTGAACAGGCAGGTAGGTAGGTCTTGGTTTTAATGTCTCATCCAAAGGACTGCACTTCTAACGTTTAACACTGTAGTTACCAGACCCTTCAATATTTCTTAAGGTTAATGCTGTTGCAATGGTTTGAATTATGCACATAACGTCCTGATTCAGCAAATTCCCAAATTCAACCATACCATCATGGAGCATGCCAAATAAAACCAAAGCATTTCCTCACAAGAGAAAACCATAAATATCATTGTATCACCTTATGACATCGAAACATTGCGTGCTTAAACTCTGTAAATTCTGTGTATTTGTAGGTGGCAGCTAATTTGCAGAGCAATATCCCACAATCAGTGCACAACATTTTTTCTGGAAGACTGTTGGCCAAAACACCAGCTTTAACTCCCTTCTCTTTTCAAATAGTGTCATGAGATCTTTAACTACAAAAAACACAGACGGGGCCTCAATTTAATGTCTCAAGGACAGCAAAATCCAACATTTCCGCCCTCCCCCCGCACTGCAGTGATAGTCTACATCTCAAAGTCCTGGCAAGCTACTAACCCAGCTAGGCCTGCTACTGAATCACCCAAAAGCACACTTTATAGAAACTAAGATTAAAAAAACAGAAACCACAGAAATCAACCTTCTTCCAGCTACAGACGTAGGGAGAAGAAAGTTTAAAAGGTGCAAAGAAAGCACCCACGATGGCCAAGTGGATAACGACCCAGCACAAGGCCATACAGACCAGAAGAACACAGGTTTGAATGAACAATCTGCGCTGAGATAGCCATTTCACTAGGAGGAGCAGTTGGAGCACTACAAATGATCCCTATCATAATTGTTAGGGAGAGAAAAATCAGACTGGGATTCTGCTCCTAATAGTTATCCAGAAAGTCCTGTTGATATTCAGAATGAAAGGCTTTGCTAATGATGCCCTCCATAGTCAAATAGCCTTAACATCTAGCTGTCATGGTCAGTTGGGCAAAGTAGTAGAGGATCTGCCAGGGCCAGTGCCACAGAAGATGAAAAGTGACACTTACAGGATTGGAGGAGAGGTGGAAAGAAAACTGCAATGGACAGTTAAGAGATAAGAAAATAGAATAAGCCGGTTAAATAGCCAGAAATGTGACACAGGAAGTCAGTATTAACTTATTAACCAAGAATTAGAACAAAGGCTAAGTGCTCTGAGACGCTACCTGCATGAAGGACACCATATAAATTCGAGTTGTTGTTGAATCCCCCAGGTTGTTGTTTCCCCCTCCTGCACATTTCCAATCTCAGCATTTTTCACCAACTAAATAAATAGCCTCGAACTAGAAATAAGTGGCAGTGGAGTTTTAAGCTCTGCTCATTAGTTGACTAACTAAACTTCAGCTATTTCAGGGATTCATAGTGGTGACACTCTGACCCACTTAAAAAGTGGCAGCACAGGTTCTCCTACTTTTCACACCTGTTGTCAAACAAATCAAGCAATTTGATTCCCAGAAGTAACAAAGATTGAATGATTGGAGCCAAGTTAACGTACCCTGTTCAAAAACAGTATTGACTGAAAGGTTCATGGAGTTTTGTTTACAAAGTCAAAATGGGCCAAAAGTGCCTTTCAATCAACTGTACTTGAATTTTAATAGTTGTTTATTATAATATGAATGAGCAAAATCAATATGGATTTCTACTATTACATCTTAGTACACAGTTGAACACTGCGTCAATGAAATACACATTTTATAAGGTTCTAATGTAAAAAAAAAGTATGTACATACCGAGATGACAGCCTTGCTCAGGCAGATAGATCCCCTGCAACCATATTCTGTCTCATCTTCAGATTTGTAGTAACTCAAAGTATTGGTTTTTAAAACCACCCATCGGTCCTGCCAGCCATGGATATAGTTGGTCCACTGATAAATGAATTACAAATGGATAAATGGTAGAAAGCCTTAACCTATGCATAACAGCATGCATAATAATAATAATAATCCTTGCATTTGATAAGCCTCAGTCATAAATACACTAATACGCACGTTGTCTGCATCTCTAAAATAAGATCCGTTTGCGATCGGGAGAAACATTCCCTGGTAATTCAGACGTTCAGTACCAATAAAAGTACAGGTAACGCCACAGTTTCTCAATTGAGCACCTGTTCTGCATTTAACACAAACAAACGCTCGTTCCTCCCAGACTTTCAAAGGGATTCCAAACCGTGATCTCTCTGAGCAGTAAACACTCCTCCAACTCCCTCCCCGACATCAGGGCAAGTCTACAAACCCCGGGCGGGCGGGCGGGCGGGCGGGCAGCCTGGGATCCAGACATCGGGAGCTCCAGCCTCCCCGAGAAAAGCTCTGCACAGACACCACGTTGTGAGAGACTCAATTTACGAGGAAACAAACCAACAGCAACTCGTGCGTGTGTTTGCACAGGATAAGGAAGAGCCGATGTCAGGCTCGGGCTGACCCGCACACACTCGCTCTCCTCCCGTTTCACACAACTTTCCCACGTACAGAGTCCCAGTCCTTCCTGTCTGAGCTCCCGGGGACAGCGCCGTGTGTGTGTGTGGGGGGGGGGGACGGGGACGGGGGGACACCTCGGGCTCGGCGCCGAGTCCGTTTCCCAGTGACTCTCTCCTCTCAAACCACCAACAGCACCACCCGCCCACCCGCCCGCCCGGTGCGGGGCTGCGGCCTGCGTTACCGCGGAGACGGCTGCAGACGGCGAGCCTCGTCCAGTTACACTACAGCACAGGCGGCAGGAGCGGTGGGGGGGACACTGGCCTCACCCCGGCCAGGGGGGGGGGGGGGACACATCACCGACCGGGGTGGGACGGGCCACTGACAGCGGAGGGGCTCTGGCTGGGGAGACGAGGGGCGAGAGAGAGGGGAGAGCCGGGGGTAGGGGCTCCGGGGCTGGGTGGCCGGGGCTGGGTGGCCGGGACTGGGGGGCCGGGGGCTGGGGGCCGGGGGCTGGGGGGGGGTGGCTGGGGTACCGGGGCTGGGGGGGGGGGGGGGTGGCTGGGGCTGGGGGGGGGGGGTGGCTGGGGTACCGGGGGTGGGTGTCCGGGGGCCGGGGCTCCGGGTGTCCGGGGGGCCGGGGCTCCGGGGCTCCGGGTGGCCGGGGCTCTGGGTGGCCGGGGGCTGGGTGGCCGGGGCCGGGGGGCCGGGGCTGGGTGGCCGGGGCTGGGTGGCCGGGGCTGGGTGGCCGGGGCTGGGGTACCGGGGCTGGGTGGCCGGGGTACCGGGGCTGGGTGGCCGGGGCTCCGGGTGGCCGGGGCTGGGTGGCCGGGGTACCGGGGCTGGGTGGCCGGGGGGCCGGGGCTGGGTGGCCGGGGTACCGGGGCTGGGTGGCCGGGGGGCCGGGGCTGGGGGGCCGGGGCCGCTCACCTTGCTTAAGATGCCGCACAGTTCAACGGGTGGCCCGGACTCGGTGTCCAGGTCTTCATCGGAGCCGGAATTCCAGCTCTGATTATCCGACATGAGAGAAGGCTCGGGGGGCCGGGCCGGGGAGAGGCCGGGCCGGGGAGAGGCCGGGCCGGGGAGAGGCCGGGCCGGGCCGGGGAGAGGTCGGGTCGGGCCGGGCCCGGGGTTCGGCGGTGCTGGGACTCGCTGTGGGTGAGGGGGAGCGGGAGGCTGTGGCCGGGGATCGGCTGCTTCTCTTGACGCCGCCACAATCCACCTCACGCCGCCGCCGCCGCCATTTTGTGACGTCACCGGTGGGTGGCGCGCGGGGCGCTGTCTCCTCGTGACGTGGGCACCGTCCGGATCCGGACAGGAGAACAGCGCGTGTGCGAACTCCAGCACTGCACTGGGACCCTCACTCCCTCCCTCACTGCACTGCACTGGGATCCTCACTCCCTCCCTCACTGCACTGGGATCCTCACTGCACTGGGCTCCTCACTCCCTCCCTCACTGCACTGGGCTCCTCACTCCCTCCCTCACTGCACTGGGCTCCTCACTCCCTCCCTCACTGCACTGGGACCCTCACTCCCTCCCTCACTGCACTGGGCTCCTCGCTCCCTCACTGCACTGGAATCCTCACTGCATTCGGATCCTCACTCCCTCGCTGCACTGGGATCCTCACTGCACTGGGATCCTCACTCCCTCACTGCACTGGGATCCTCACTGCACTGGGATCCTCACTCCCTCACTGCACTGGGATCCTCGCTGCACTGGGATCTTCACTCCCTCACTGCACTGGGATCCTCACTGCACTGGGATCCTCAGTCCCTCACTCCCCCACTACACTGGGCTCCTCACTCATTCACTCACTCACCACACATTGGTCCCCTCACTCACTTACTCATTCACTCACTACACTGGGTTCCTCACTCCCTCACTGCACTGGGCTCCTCACTCCCTCCCTCATTGCACTCCTCACTCCCTCCCTCACTGCACTGGGCTCCTCACTCCCTCACTGCACTGGGCTCCTCACCCCCTCACTGCACTGGGCTCCTCACTCCCTCACTGCACTGGGCTCCTCACCCCCTCACTGCACTGGGCTCCTCACTCCCTCACTGCACTGGGCTCCTCACTGCACTGGGCTCCTCACTCCCTCCCTCACTGCACTGGGCTCCTCACTGCACTGGGCTCCTCACTCCCTCCCTCACTGCACTGGGCTCCTCACTGCACTGGGTTCCTCCCTCCCTCACTGCACTGGGCTCCTCACTCCCTCCCTCACTGCACCGGGCTCCTCACTGCACTGGGATACTCACTGCAGTAGGATCCTCACTCCCTCCCTCACTGCACTGGGCTCCTCACTCCCTCCCTCCCTCACTGCACTGGGCTCCTTACTGCACTGGGCTCCTCGCTCCCTCCCTCACTGCACTGGGATCCTCGCTCCCTCACTGCACTGGGATCCTCACTGCATTGGGATCCTCACTCCCTCACTGCACTGGGATCCTCACTGCACTGGGATCCTCACTCCCTCACTGCACTGGGCTCCTCACTCACTCACTACGCTCCTCACTCACCGCACCCTGGGCTCCTCACTCACTCAATCATTCACTTACCGCACACTGGGCTCTTCACTCACTAACTGTATCACAGGGCTCTTCACTCACTCACCGCGCATTGAGCTCCTCATTCACTCACTGCGCTCCTCACTCACTGCACACTGAGCTCCTCACTCAGTCCCTCACTACACTGGGCTCCTCACTCCCTCACATCCTCACTACACTGGGTCCTTCACTCCCTCACTGCACTGGGCTCCTCACTCACTCCCTCACTACACTGGGCTCCTCACTCACTTACTCACTACGCTCCTCACTCACTCACTCACCGCGCACTGGGCTCCTCACTCATTCACTCACTGCGCTCCTCACTCACTGCACACTGGGCTCCTCACTTACTCACTGCATACTGGGCTCCTCACTCACTCACTCACTGCACACTGGGCTCCTCACTCACTCACTGCACACTGGGCTCCTCACTCACTCACTCACTCACTCACTCACTGCACACTGGGCTCCTCACTCACTCACTGCACACTGGGCTCCTCACTTGCCGCACACTGGGCTCCTCACTCACTGCACACTGGGCTCCTCACTCACTGCACACTGGGCTCCTCACTCACTCACTCACTGCACACTGGGCTCCTCACTCACTCACTGCACACTGGGCTCCTCACTCACTGCACACTGGGCTTGTTTTAAAAAAATACATTCACTGCACTGAGCTCCTCACTCTGAGCTATTCTCTTAACATGCACATATTCTGCACTGACCTACTCTGTCTCATACACAAAAACGCCACCAACCTGTTCTCTCTCTCACACACTATATACTGAATCTATCTCTCTCTCACACACACATACAAACTCTGCACTGAATTGTTCTCTTTCACACACAAACACACAGTGAGCTGCTGAGAAGCTAAAATTTTTGTGCCGACCACAAAACTGGTCAAAACTGGTCAGCGCCTTGGGACGTCCTCCCGACGTGAAAGGCGTTCTATAAATGGAATCTTGTTGTTGTTGTTGTTGTTGTATTCACTTCTTGGCTGTTTGTGGGACATTGTGTGTAAAATTGGCTGCCAAGTTTATCTACAAATGCAGTCAGCACACTTCACAATTTTTTAAAAAGTTGTGAGCCACTTTGAGATGTTGACAAGTGATAAGGCACTGTATCAAAAGCAAGGAATATTCTATGACTGAGCTGCTCTTATACACACTCTGCACTGAGAGCTGTGCCACCGACCGCTGCCCAGATACTGCTGTGCAACAGTGAATTGTTCTCACACATACTGTATCATGCAATCTGCGCAACTTTCACAGAGAACTGCAACTGGCCAATGCTCTCACATCTGAGCATCTGTGGGCATTGTCATTGCTCTCACAGACTGAGCAGCGGTATCCATCCACCTACTGTTTCACTCTTTGCAAAACTACATTTATACACCACAGTCTCGATCAAAACCAGGTAATGAAGGGTTGCAAGCGTGCACTGCTGAGGTTCCAGTCCAATTGGAGAGCCTGTAAATATGCAGCAGGGCAATCAGAATCCAAAAAAGAAAAATAGGTTAACCTTCTGGCATAATAATCTTTGCATTTGGGATAGCGATTTCATTCCAGGAGAATATGCTAAAGCGTTTCACAGGAATATATTGTAAAGTATAGTGACCTTGTTCTATAGGTGAATACTGCAGCCAATTTTGCACACAGCAAAATCCCACAAATAGCCAAGGAGTGAAAGACCAATTTTGTTTTGGGGATTGTCCGTCACGAAAAACTCCCTTTTCTTTTTGAATATTGCCTTGGAATTTTTAACATCCACCTAAGTAGGTAAGATAGGGCCTCAGTTTTATGTCACATCCAAAATACCATGCCTCTGACAATGCAGCACACTACCAGCACTGCATTGGAGCATCTGCTTAGTCTATACAATTTCCCAACATGGGGCTTGAACCTGCTGGCTCACAAAATGCTCACAAAACTGACATCTAATAACCTTTGATCTGAACTGAAAGAGAAGTTTATAGGACAGAGGTAAACACAGATATAGAAAAGTAAATGGGAGAGAAGTATTTAAGTATGGTGACTCAGGGGGTCTTACTAAGGATTGGTGTGATCGGCTCATGAAGCTTAGTGTGGGAGAGGACACAAGCTACAGAATTCTGAATAATCTGAGGCTTGTGACGGGAAGAATTGGTAAATCCGACAAGCAGAGAGTTTGCATAATGAAACCTGGACATAATGAAAGTGTGGATGAGAGTTCATAGATTCATAGAATTATACAGCACAGAAGGAGGCCATTCAGCCCATCGGTCTGTGCCGGCTCTTTGAAAAGGGCTATCCAATTCAATCCCACTCCCCCGCTCTCTCCCCATAGCCCTGTAAATTTGTCCTCCCCAAATAATTATCTACTCTCTTAAAAGTTGTTATCGAATTGGCTTCCACCACCCTTTCAGGAATGTATTCCAGATCCGAACAACTTGCTGTGTGAAAAAATTTCTCCTCATCTCCCGTCTGTTTCTTTTAATAACTATTTTAAGTCAGTGCCCTCGGGTTACCGACCCACCCGCCAGTGGAAATAGTTGCTCCTTGTTCACCGTATCGAATCTGCTCATAATTTTGAAAACTTCTATTAAGTCTCCTCTTAACCTTCTCTGCTCCAAGGAGAATAATCCTAACTTCTCTAAACTCTCCTGATAACTGAAGTCTTTCATTCCTGGTACCATCCTGGTAAATCCCCTTTGCACCCTTCTTCAGTGCCTTGACATCCTTCCTAATGTGTGGTGCCCAGAACTGAACACAGTCTCTAGCTGAGACCTAACCAGTGTTTTATGAAGGTTCATCATAACTTCCTGACTTTTGTATTCTATGCTCGTATTTCTAGAGTCTAGTATTCCGTATGCTTTCTTTTAACAGCTTTATCTGCCTGTCCTGCCACCTTCAAAGATTTACTTATATGAACCCCCAGGTCTCTCTGTTCCTTCACCTCCTTTAAGATTGTACCATCAGTTTATATTGCCTCCCAAAATGCGTCACTTTGATTTCTCCAAATTAAACTTCATCTGCCCATTTTACCAGTCTGTCAATGTCTATTTGCAGTCTGTTAATATCCTCACTGTTTACTACTTTTCCTAGCTTAGTATCATCTGCAAACTTGGAAATTGTACTCCCTAGGCCCAAGTCCAGGTTATTTATATAGATCAAAAACAGCAGTGGTCCCAATACTGATTCCTGGGGGACACCACTTGCAAACTTCCCTCCAGTCAGAAAACAACCGTTCACTCCCACTCTCTGCTTTCTGTATCCCAGTCAGTTCTGCATCCATGCTGCCACTGTCCCTTTAGTATTGTGTGCTTCTATTTTGCTTACAAGTCTCTTATGTGGCACTTTATCAAACGTTTCAGCAGCCTGAGGGGAGAGATATTGGTGGAGGCGGGCAGTTCAAGATGGATAAGTATAAGATACTCCATATCTATTTAATTTTGTTGAAGGATACACTCTCATTTATTGAATTTCGCCCTTTTCTGAT